AGATCATTCGAACGCTGAATGGCGATTTGTTAATGATTGTGATAAGCGGATGGTTTTCAGAAATCCTCGCGAGGCGAAATTTCGGGCTTTCCGCAAACTAAAGGCAAAAATTGGTTGATTAAGATGATGTGATATAACAAACTTTTAATGGGGAAGCGAGGTAAGAATTCGTACAGATCTCCTTGAAAATGGATAAGAAAATCCATGATCCACGGCTAACATATAACCTTCATAACCTCGTACGGGGTACGACTATTGAATGAGTATTCATAGATAATAGAATGCGTGGGAAAGTGCCGGAACGATGTAACAATGAATGCATTGACATACTGAAGAACGCTCTTATCATAACTTTCATAAAAATGAAATTCGACATACGTATGCATTACGAAATTTGTTCAAGAAAACCTGAACGATTTATTGTCCGATTTGAACAAATCCACTTGATCACGGTTACCAGTGTTGTGCTCCCAAAACAAGAAAATGGTGAGACTGCAAGTGGCATATCTCGTGATCATGACTCGCAAGATTACGCACGATACAAAAATCGGTTCAAAGACACAGGAAAATCCCTACTAAATCATTGCTAAAAAATTCTCTTCTAGTTTCATCCAGTTTAATGCAATTTTAGAACTGTAGTAAGTCTTCCTCATACAAATTCCGTTTCGTCCGTTCAAATTTCAAAACTTACGGGTTTTGCCTTTATTTATATATGCGAGATGTTTCGTCTCAACTACAAACATCACATATATATAACGAGACCTTGCTCTTAATATAAGAGTTCTTTGAGACTCACTCGGTTCTGACATTTCAACGGTCTCGATTGAGATTCCAGAATCCTTCCATGTCATTAAGAGATGAACTTGAGCATACAGCGGTCAAAGTGACAGATGCCCAGAGAATAATCCTTACGCACATGCTTTTAGCACATGCTTCTAGCACTTAGCTTGGAGGATTATTGTGTAAACGATATCGGATACAATATCATAATTTCCTTCAATCGCACTTTATGATGGGAGAATTTCTCCGCCTCTCATAAACCTCATCTGTGGGTAATCTGTGGGTATTTCAAAATGGGATATGATCTACAATATCCGATAATAATGCTGCGGAGTTCGTGAAATTGCGTACAAGCAAAGGCAAGGCGGATTTAGACTTCTAGTCCGCTGTCATTTAATTTACCATGTAGTGGCATGAACCCTTTCTGAAAGTTTGTTTTTCTTTCTGACTTCAAACTCGATCTTCATCTCACCTACCACTTTCGCTCTGTTCACGAGATGTTTTTCCTCTGGTCCCTCATTATCGGCCTTGCAACGGTCTCTTCAGCTAAATCTTCAGATGATCTGGATTGTACTGGAATCAATGGTATCAGACCACAATGTGAATCTCAGGAGACATCTTACAAACGCGATGTTTTCTGGGTAGGAGGGCATTACGTGAACGCAGCCATTGGTCTGTTGACCTACGATCAGGCGTATGTTGAAAAGTTGACTCCACATAAGGGTATCCAGAAACCATATCCTGTGGTCTTATTTCATGGCGGGGGAGTTTCCGGTGCAGTATGTCGCGCTTAATCCCTCTGAAAGCCATCATCGACTGACCAAAAATAGACATGGCTCAACACACCTGATAATCGCAAAGGCTTTGCATCGATGTTCTTAGACTTGGGTTACCAAGTTTACGTTGTCGATCAAACTAGTGTAGGGCGCGGAACCCAAGAGGATCTTGTAGGATATCCTTTGAGAATTGGATCAACTGCAAACATTAGTGAGGTAAGTTTTATCTTCCATATGCGCTATCCAAACAGAAACTTATCATTTTCCTAGGTCGGATTCACAGCTCCAGAAATCGCCAACGCTTATCCCCAAAGCCAACAACATACTCAATGGCCCGGTACTGGAGTTAGAGGAGATCCTATCTTTGATGCATTTGAGAGTTCTTTCATGCCGTTGACTACCAACAATACTCGACAAGAAATATCGATGCGTGCTGCTGGTTGCGAACTTCTTCAATTGATTGGTCCATCGTTTTTGATTTCTCACTCCATTGGCGCAATTCACCCAATTGTAATTTCAGACGAATGTCCAGATCTCGTGCTCGGAAATGTCAACCTCGAACCTGGAAACATTCCATTCGAATCCTATACCGGAAATGCAACATCTTCTGTTGGAAGATCAGCTGCTCGTCCATTTGGCTTGACTGTCTCTAATCTTAATTATGATCCTCCTATCTCCAACTATACCGAACTCATGACCGAGACGGTTGGCGAGGATACCCCAGAGAGCAGATCTTGCATTCAACAAAGCAGCGCCGCAAATTACACCATCCATACTCTTCCTAATGTAGCCAAGGTACCATACGTCGCATTCACCGGTGAAGCATCTCCTCACATCACTTACGAACATTGTGTTATTCAATACCTCAATCAAGTCGGTGTAAAGACCGATTGGATCAAGATGGCTGATGCTGGTGTTTATGGCAATGCTCATTTCGGATTCTTGGAGAAGAACAATGACGAATATTTCAAGGTTGTTGAAGCTTGGATCAAAAAGGCTGCCAATGGAATTGGTTCAGCTGATTCCGGCGGAAGATATTCGCATTGGAAAGCATAGTTTGAGGAAGGCATGTTCGGAAAAACTGTAGAATTATAATTAGCCCCCCGGGTGGTTTGTACATATTTACCATAATATTCTAATGTCTCCTTTATCAGATGTCGAGGCTAGACGATTGATATGATTCAATTTTTACCATTAAATAATCATCAGCCTCTTTTCAAACTATACAAATAATTCACATTCTGATCACTGGTAGGTATTCCTATCGTAGTGCGACAATGAGGTTCTCAACCCAGTGGCTCAATAGGGACGCTAGCCTCATAAAGTTAGATGAAAGCTGTAAGCCACCATCACCAACACAAGACTTCGTTGGAGTACTGGGATATTGATGTCTTCATCTTATGAGCGAAGTCAGAGTGGATTGAGCGTTGAAGACTCTGTGAAGACCATGGCAATAAATAATGTGGATATAGCCAAGTTGTCGCAGATATGAATATGCAGGGAGTTCAATTTGCGCTATATCTTCCTTGCTAGGAGGTTACCTTGAACATCATGCGCTGTAAGAAGGTATTTCACCTCTAGCCAATTTTGGTGTGTGGTATTTTGTCACTGCTAGATTGCTGTTTGTATATAAGATGAGAAATGGATATTAGGTGTTTATTCATTATTTTTATTCAACCTATTCTTCTGGTTACCAGAAGCGCTCTCTTTTCTTCACTACGTCGCACTCTATTACTGATTGATTTGAGTTGGTATATCGACTGGCATATTCAATACATACGCCATCTCTCATAGTTTGAGCCCGGCGGAAAAGCAGCAGAGTATATCCAATCATGACATCTGAACTTCGGGCAATCGACCGGCCGCCTAGGGTCATTGAGAGGCATGTTCAGATGCAGGTCCTTTGCTTCAGTCTACCGCGTACCAGCATGGTGTGATAGTTTTCTTTAACTCTGTAACGTGCGGATTTTTGGAATTGTTTTCAAGCATTTTTCAGTGCACTGGTAATAACAAGTTCTTTCATAGAGGAGTTCGACAAGCTATTCTATCAATTTAGTGTATTAGTGTAATCCCTTCCTCCCATCAATCTATAGCTGCATTTCAGGGAAAGAAGCTTATCCGAGATGCAATACTAATACTCAATCTTCGCTCTACATTCAGCATTCAAGCTTCCAAAACCTCCCTTCTTTTTGCCGTCATCAATTGGATACAATGGTCTGTTTCAGAATACATTGAATTCCAAGTCAAGATGATCTTCTTGATTGACATCATTATTTTTGATCAAGCCATTCCAAAGTCAAGACATAGCTGAATACATTTCATCAGCAGACCATACCGATTGATACAGACTCGAAAACCGGAGATTTCCTCAATAGTCTTGTCAACTGAGCCTCTCATTCACACTCTGCTTGTATCTTCTGGCCAAGACAGTGATGGGTAAATCGATACTGCAGTTGCTGACCTTGATAAATAACTGCAGCCGAATGAGGAAATTGTGAAAGGACGATACGAAGACCCATTAGGTCATCATCAGTCTTATTTTTAGATTCCAGAGATATACTCCAGCAATTCTATTAGCTTTTTTCTTTTTGTCATGCAGCAGCACCGGCTTCAAGAAGCTCGCATAACTTGACTCTCACTACCTAGACAACCCGATTTGCAGCATCTCAGGATATTACCCTGGCTCACTTGGAATACGCAGTATCAGACTTCGCCTGTAGTAAACAGTTGCAGAAAGAAGTTCAAATTCTCAGCGAGAATTTCTCGCTGATCATAATGTTTGAAGCATACGGTTTTCACTGGAAATGTATCCCATATTACCCGCTGCTGTATCATCTTCCTTTCTGCACAAAACATCGACGCATTTATCTTACAGAGCACTGTTCCGTTTATTCTAGTAGAAAATTTCGCATTAAAAAGCTAAAATGCCTTATATACGCGTTTTATTTCTATACAATTCTTCCCCAGACTCTCCACACTGCCCTTGCGAAAACAATGTTCCTGCCAGCGACGTCCGGGGATTTCTATAAACCTACGTGATCTCATAAGTGGGAATCGAGTTGATCCGAATGATAGATTCAGCAGTCGTTTGTATTATGACGACGAAGAACGAATAGACTCAAGGATATTGAAGAGGGAAGTCGCAAGTAGCACTGAGTATAGTACTACACGGATCATGATCAATGATTCTTATCGACTGAATAAGCGGCCTTGTTGCCTTAATGCTATTCTTTGAAACCAGAGAGGAGTCAATTCTGCCTAGAGAAAACAGGACTCTGGTGTATCTCAAGTATTAGCCATCTTCTATTCACTATTTTTCTGCATTCTAAACTCATTTCTCCCACCTAGAATCTTCATCCCACCCCATCCACCATATTATTTTCCTTCCTAATTACCCCTTCCCCCTCATTCCCTCTCCCTCTCTCCTCACCACACCACACACCCTCAAACCCCCTCATTAAGCGCCCTCCCCGCCTTCAACAAAATCCCAATACAACTAACATTCCCCAACCACCAAAACGCCGTCCTCAATACACTCGTATTCCTCGTTTCCATGAACGTATAAGCAAATCCATATCCGATTCTCGCTAGATTATAGGATAATCCGAATTTATTGATTGTTTGGACGGGGAGTCCTGCTTGTTGTGCTAAGATCTGGGGTTGTTAGTTTTTCAACAATCCATGTCTCACTATCTGTTACCCCTCCTCCTTCCCCATCTCCCAAAAATGCCTTTTCAATTCCTGACCCCCACTACCAACCTCCCCCAAAATCCAAAAAAGAAAACTCACAATACACCCCAAAAAGAACGCAAAATGTTCAATACTATTACTCGACGCGCTCTGTACCCTCTTAATCCTATCCAACTGTCTCTTAGTCAATTTCCCCTCTTTCACCATTCGTTCCCCATATTCTTGGACATCGTAGCGGGGGGATTCATTGTGATCGAATCCGTAGTATTGTTTCCAATGGCGTGAGGCGAGAACGAGGTAGGAGAGTGTCCAGTTTGTGAGGATGTAGGGGACGATGTGGTTTATTGTTGGGGAGAGGGGAGAGGAGAGGAAACCGATGAAGGTTGTCATTTTTTCGTTTTTGAAAAAAGTAAAAATAGAGATACTGGAGTTTGTAGAATGGAAACGATGAGGTATTTTGGAGTTGGATGGCAATGAGGAATGTGAGGTACAATTTATATATAATTGGGGAGGTCGGATAGGATGTCAGATTTTGACGTGTGGTAGTATGGCATTTATATCTGCATTTCCGCCCCCAAACCCGGGAACTTTTCGGATACTAAATTCTGTCAGCAATCGTCATTATGATAATACGTCTCACTCACGAGCTGTATTGTTCTCAATAAATTAATTACTACGTAAAACGTCGGATTCCAAGACTGGAATGAGTCATCTGATATCATTGCAGTAATGATATCAATACGATAAGATATTGAGCCTGGACCGCTGGCAATTTTTGGTTTCCGTGTAAAAATTTCCATTTTGTATTTTCTTGTAATCTAGATAGAAAGAGTCTGGTAAAAGAAGAGAAAGACGACGCATTGATATATGTCATGTACTTGAACGCAAAGAAAAAGACTGAACACTTTCAATTCCTCCATACAACTTCAACAGAAAGAGATACATATCCGATAGTAATCTAAATTCCATCTACTCTAGCCTAACCTGATCTCAATACCATGACAATCCAAGAAATGCCATCTCAAAATCCTCCCTTAAAGAAGTTCGTAGGCTGAGGGTTTTCAGGTAGGTGAGTACCCAAGATCTTGTTCTTCGAAGAGCCTAATAATTTCGATTTTGCCCCATTGAACTTGCTGAAAAGATCCTTAAAATTTCTAAAGTCTTTCTTGGCAAGCTTATTGGGAGTAGGAGGCCATGTCGTAACGAATTGAACCGAAGGATTATAACAGGTAGAACCACAACAAACATCCCTGAGACAGATGCCAGTTGTACAATCCGAATTGTTTTCACAGGTAATTCCGCAAGTCTGCAAGATCGGGTAATCAGTATTGCCTATCTGGAACATATTTTGAAGGAAACTCATGAAATTAAGGTATTAATGAGATACTGGGAAGCAAAAGAAATGCGTAGACGGAAGACGAAAGCCAGGATTGAGATTGGGAAACAAAAGGAGGTATCAAAAACAAAAGAAGCATCGAATCGCTTATACTCACTCCTGCCGCGACACAGAAACCAGAATCATCATTCCCGCCACCAGGAATACAGATTCCAGCCCCATTTCCACAAGAAGCCTCATTATATCCTTGTGCACATGTAGCCGGATTCGCGCAAAGGGGCAGTTTATCGTAAAGGTAGGTAGTTGGAGTGGGAGCGACGACTGCTGATGGTGTAACTCCCGCACAATCACAGGCAGAGGAATACGCAGCTGCGTCGGTGCAATATGATGCATAAGTAGGAATTGTACCATGATTGGCTGTTGTTTGAGAAGGAACGTAGGGATAATCTTCCATATTGGCACTCGTAGTGATCAAAGCAATGCTATATCAATTAGCGAAGAATCTGAATGAGATTAGAACTGACGAACGAAGCATTGGGAGTGACAGTAGTCGCTATGAATTTGGCGCAATCTAATGAACGACTTTGGAGACCAACGTTAATTTCACCAATGGATGTAATAGCATCTGCACATTGATTTTGAGTGCAGATACCACCTAAAATACCTCTGGTAAAGACCAGAAAGACTAACAAGCTTGAAGTCCTCATATTGGAAATAATGCCGTTAACTGGAAAAAGAGAAGGGAACAATGCGTGTACGAAAGAAGGAATGAGAGTATGAGAATGACTTATACTTGTAAATTTTGTTGTGCATATCAACGGACATGAAGAATGTAGAGGCGTGGAATATGAGACCGCGTTGCCAAGTCACTTGATGTCTACCGCGTCCACGAATGCATTTATCCTTGAGCTGATGCAATTTGCCCTCAACTATCGTGGAAACACGCATTGAGTTCCAAAAAGCTATCGTATATTTCTGTACCTACAATGCTTTCCCTTTGACTTTTCATCGAGCGGTCTCTTCTTGTATGATATATTAAGACGACCAGAGATAGGAATCTTCCTGCCGCTACGCGCAAAGCTAAGGGAATGTTACCTTCCGGAAGTACATTCCAGCCGAGCCATTCTCGCGTGCACTTCCCGTGTCTTCGATGTAGCACTTGCAACCAATTATGACGTTTCAGCCTTTAAGTAAAGGTTGGCTTTGGATATCCCTTCGAGGCTGGAAGTTGAAGGGATGATTTACCGCAGCTTCTTCCAACTATTCATGACATTTCACTCTCGGCATTCTCTGCCATAGGAGCCACTTGCTAATCGACGATCAAGTGTAAACTTCTGTAGATTCGCTGTCCAAGACATGGATCGATAAGACTCACAAGATACTAGTGGTCGAGTTGTAGCTGACATGCTGACATGTTTGTTTGTCTTTCTTAGGCCCATATTGTTTGCGCTCAGGATGCATATCGAGTTGATTGGACCGATCTCGAAGTAGCATGGATAGACCGTTTGGCTTTTAAAGGTGCATTCGGATATTGAAATCCAGGTTGGTTATCAAAACAAATTTTAGCTTTCTTGATGGGAAAGGAGATCCTGGTCCGTGCAGATTATTTTGAGCGTGGCCGTGCTTGCCGTGCTTGCTGGGAGATTGGTGGGATTAACCTTAGCGCACAACCCCGCACTGATGTAACTTCACTGATGCTCACACCAGGTGAAGCCTCATTTTGGTAACAACAAATGCAACCTGAATCTCAACACCAGGACGAATCATCTTGCTCTCCCCATGTTATTTGCCGTTCTGCTTCCTATTCAAATGTAAGACCAGCTATTTAATTCGACAAGTATCGAAAAAAGAAGTCGGAAATGGGTGCTCTGCATTGAAAGAATCGCTTTTCGCGGGCGTCCAAGTCCAATGGATATCAGCAACCATGGGGAAACCGCTTCTCCGTGTGATATGAGAAGACGAGGATGAGAAAATAGCAATGAAAAGGTAACACAACCACTACCTCTTCCAGCGGCAAAAAAAAGGTGATAAGAGGAGAGTTCCATTTGATTCCACTCTTGTTAAATACTATCTTTCGCGCGTTTGTATGTCCAAGAATTGCTGCTTTAGCAACAAACATCCTTCAAACATCCTCTTCCATCAGCTAGTCATGGTATGACTGCAATTGCATGACAGCTACTTGACTATCATTCAACATCAAGCTCATAATTACCAAGTCTATACTTTACCAACAGACAGTTCTCGACCGCAGCAAGGCAACATTGGAAACGCACCGCAACCCGGGAATTTCGACGGAGACCTTCGAGGGAATCTATGAATCCATGAAGGCGGAACATCATCTCTTTGCAATTGCTTCTCGAAGAATTAAAGCTAGAATCTCATTGCTTCTGGGAACTTGGCAGCAGGTTTGTCTCGTTCACGATCAAAGCAATAACTAATACGACAGCACATTCTCGAGGCCTCTTCTTATAGTTAGCTTCTCAACCTGCCATTACAAAAGAACGCAATCTCACAATGACCTCTAATTTGCCTCTGGAATACATCTTTCATCATGTTTTTCTTCCCCCAAAATTACCCGACAAGGAGGATGAGCGAGAGAAATATGATGCTGTGCTTTCGCAACTTTGTCAACGGGAGCTTCAGAACTTCCATGATTGCCTGCCAAGTGATCAAAGACAACCAGTCAAAAGGATGATCGAGATGATAAATAGCATGGTTCTTGATCCATCTGCTACTGCCACACCATTTTCAAACATTATCAAAGGTTTAAAAACAATGAACACTGAAGGTACATATCTTTATCTCCCAAATATTTTTGCTGACCATGCAAAATATACAGACGTTTACGCTTTCCACATTGAGGCGCAAAATGCAGGAATAATAATTCGACGACTCTCAGCATATTATTCATTCGAGATGTTTGAGTTATCGCCAAGGAATACAGATGTCATGGCGACTGTTGGCCGATTACGAAGATATTTCCCGGGTCCCGCAGTAGCCATTCATCGGGACCGCATCCACGAAGAATCATTCCAAGAAGCTCTATCTCAGTGTATTGAAGAGCTCTCGCAAGAGACGCCAAACATTGTCAGAGCGAAAGCTCGTAAAGCAAACGTGTCTGACATTGAGAATCGAGATACTGTCGACCCATCTCTCATAACCAGCATGCTTGCGGAGTCTCTGCATGCTGTTGGTCGTCGTATTGATGTCCATCGTATTCAAAAGAGAACCCGTGATGTCGTTCAGTGGAAAGATTGTCTTCATCCTTGGCGTCGTTCACCCTTTTGGCTCTTTCTCCGAGTCTGCCTCCAGACTGGACTAATGAAAAAAAATTGCAATGATCCATCACACTACCAATACAAATCGTTTATGATCTTTTTCATGTGCCAAATTCTAGAACTCGCACTAGAGTCTCCCATGTCCAGAGAAATATTGTTCATAATGTCGATGAAGGTACAACGGCGCTTAGTCAAACTCGAAAAGTGTATTGACGGTGGGCTACAGCAGCAGGTGCAGAAGGTATTAACCAAAGTGTCATCCTACTTGAAGAACAATTTTCCAATGCTGTTATCCCCAAAATACCCTGATATTTCTGCACTCGACCCAAAAAAAGACACAGTACTCAGCATGAACTGCCTACGATCTTATCTCGACGGCTTATCATCGCGATACCGACCAAAATTAAAGCACGCATTTGTTAAAACTCTTTGTGACTCGCGAATAGTTCAAAGGGATCACAGCCTTCCGAAAATGAATCTTCAGTGCTTGAGCTCCCAGAGCAGAGATGGAACTCGCTTGGATCTGGCAGACATCGAACTGTGGGTTCGAGATCATCTAGCTAGTTGGCTGAGCAAAAATAAAGCGTCTCAAGCATGTTGTATCGCTTTGGCGAATCTCATATCTACCTACAAGAAAGTTTCTGATATAGTATACCACGGGATCGCCGAAGACCAATCTGTAAGAATCTTGACGTTGTTAGATTTATGGGTCGCATTAGACAAATCTACAACCTTACAAGAACCACTTGTGAAGGATTACAAATGTGGATTCACATCAGACTTGTTCACTCCTCTACTGTTAGCTACCAAGCCAGAAATGTTAAGATTGGCCTCTATCGAACAATATATTACCAACAGAAATGCTGCATCGGCCGCCGAAATGCCATGCATCTTTTCCACAACAAACACTGCAAGAAGCTTTCCTGTTCGCTACTTTGATCAATCGTCTCAGCACCAGAGGTTGCTAGACCGGATTAACTCTGATGCTCGCTATGAACGCAATGCAAAAATTCTCGAGCTAGAGAAAAAGGTTCAACAGTTCAATTCCTGGAAAGAGAGTGATCAATCGACCATGTGCAGGAGGGAAACGATTACTCGCGGTCAAGGACGCAAGCGTCATGAAGTTGATGTTCACCACAGTTATTGTCCTAAATGTATTGCAAAAACTAAGGCTGAGCGAGTTACAATTGATGTTTTTGAATGCCCTCTCCCAGAAAATGTTTCAGAAGCAAAATCGATAGTATTTGAGCTTGACGTGCCTAAAGCTTTTTCAGCTTGGCGTGATAGCACGTATAGCCTTCTAGTGGACACATTCTCACCAAAATCAATGGTTTCTCAAGATATCGATTATTATAATTTCAGCAAGACTGCTTTGGAGCGTTATGTCCAGAAACCCTTAGGGAGGGTTTGTCTAGGGTCAAGTACGAAGCCATTCATGGTTTCTCACTACAAGAACAAGTTTGTCTTTCAGGCTACAGTTGAAAACATTCTGAAGCCAACTGGATTGAACTACACGTTTGTAGATAATGACGGATCTCACCAAATAGCAATCACGGACGACTTCTGTGAAAACTTGGGATTACAAAAGTTATGTACCATGAGATTCGCTCCGGCGTTCATGAAGTTGGAAATCTTTTTGGAAGGCACGAAGTGTACCACCAATAATGCTCTTGCAAATCAAGCAAATTGCCCGGCCACATTGACTTTGCACGAATTTTATCAATTTGCATCTCTTAGATGTGGACATTATCTTCAATGGCTTAATATCCTGCGCGAGAGTGAAGCACGATTACTTGATTTGAACTCTGTCGAAGTCTTCCAAATGTTGACACAGACGGCATGGCAAGTCGGTCCCGCAACCTATAAACCAGCATGCCGAGATTCACACCAAGACCTCGAGAACGAAGCCTTTGGGATACATCTTTTACAGGCTTTAGGGGCGATAGTATCAAGTGTAGAGTCTAATTGGCAGAATGTAGGAGCTGTTCGTGTGGTGATTATACTAACTACTCGATTGCTCAGTGTCTCAACTAAGGACAAAGTACGCGAGAGCTGTCTTCGACTACTCCTACGTATTCAGGTTATTACAATTGCGTGGACTAGAGATGTTGTTCACATACTCCATAATTGTCAAGAGGAGGATGAGCTTAAATCACTAAGAACTCGAGCCCTTGAATTGGCATTGGCGTGTCATGGTTCATTCGACGTCGGAATCAATAATTTTGAGGTTATGCTTAGCTCCACCGAACCTCAAACTATTTTTATCGAGAGTTTGATCATAGTTCACGATCGACGTCCTGCCTTAACTACTGGACTTTGTAGTATGATTCAATTTGCTTTGAGACGCTTTGATAGATTGAATCATTCCGCCGAACCAATTCTGCGTGGCATCATAATCAATGATGCCGCCGGTATTAACATGACGATTCACACTCTCTGGTCTGGTTATAACCCTGGAGCTCCTTGGAAAGCACTTGATCTGCCAAATGAAAGATGGCTAAGAACAAAAACAGCAACAATTAATGGCCATGAATCACTATTTGTTGAATTGAACATTCTAGACGGAGAATTGCTCATCAATGGATCTCCACTTGCTCGTCTACCTCGTGATTATGAATCCCATGCCACATATCAAAGAATTTTTGGGCAGGTCAGTGTGCATCTCAATGTGTCGTATCCTAAAGCTAATGTTATATATGTACAGAAAACGTTGGATGTTGTCCCATCAACAATGCCCGGCATGGCTTTTGAGACTAGAAAAGATGTATACGGGCAACAAGTAAGATCAATAGCTCGATGTTTGAACTCAAGCATATGCTGAATTTTCTAGGTTCATTTCAAAATGCTCGGCGATGAATTAGTGATTCGAACTCGTAAAGAGCATGAATGTTTTGAAGTTATTCCCAAGCATATTCTCATAAACGACTTCCAACATTCGTTCATAGAAAATTATATTTTCATGCGAAATGATGAAACCGGTATCATACAACTGAGGCCAGTAGATATGCCATGGAATTCCTCGAACGGTGAATGGCAAATTACAAATTCTTCGAACCAAGCTTTTCATTTGAGCAATAAGTCAATGGTAGCCATCGATGTTCGAAGCCCAACAGCTTATGCCATATCAAAAATTCTCGGAAATTTGGAGGATATAAGCCACATCAACATGATACTGAACCAGCAAGACAATGTTTTGGACTTACGCCTCCCCCGCTTCAATATTGACTTCTCAGTTACCGTAGGAGATTGGAGGCTTTCTTCTAAGCAATTTCGGGGAATGTCCGTAGACAAAAATCAGGATATTGGTACCTTTACTGGCTTAGTTAACAAACTTGTGTTGTGTAGTAACGACAAAGCAACGCGAGCTGTGATTATTCCAGACGGCGAAATTTCATTCACGCGAAAAAATGACCATGTTCAGGTGAACATTGATACAACATCGACGAGCTCCTGTAGTTATCATGAGTATCGTATCGATCCTCAACTTGGCCGTCTGATTGATAATGGGAGCCTGAAAACTTGTTTATTTAGATTATATCTTCATTCTATAACCTCGGATTTTATACCAGATGCCCTCACAGGCAAAACTGGTACGGAAGAAGCATTGAATGGATTAAGTTCCTCATCTGTGTGGTCGTTCTTCACGCTTTCCTCTAGCGAGATAGGTCTGCTACTAAAGTTGAGAGATTTATCTCCACAAGTTACATACTATCCAGCACATAAAAAATCTATGCAGATGATTTCGTGGAAAAATCTCCCAATATTATCTCAGCATGAACGATTCTGCAAGCAAGTCGACCTCATCTTCACACATGCTAAGAAGCTCGTACCATTTCAAACTGCGTCCGATAAGAAGCACTCGATTCCCGAATCAAACAATAGCAGCAATCCCATCCTGATTTCTGCGGCTATCATCAGGAATGCTGTTTATCGCGTCGATGGCTTTGGGGCAGAGGAGTTTACCACCATCAAAGATAAAGAATACGACTCTCGGGACGGAATCTGTGATGCAAGTCGACGTGCAGATATATACAAAACCGCAGCATTGGCATATTCGTGGTCACAGAAACTGAAAGTCTACACGGGTTTATTGGGAATCATGAATTCTTTGTCAACTCACATTGTTGGACCTGGTTCAATCACGGAAAATGTCATTGGATATAATTCAAAGTGGTTAGATACACCCCAGTCTTTCTTTTCTGAAAATTGGTGTGCAATCTATCAGCAGCTATCAGCCAGTATTGAGACTCGAGATAAGTATAAAATCATGATCTTCTTGTCCACGTTGATCTTCTCGAAAAAGGTCGAGCACTCGCTTGTACATACATTTTTAGCATTTGCCACAATGCCAATTTTCGATCGCATCAAGATTCCTCAATATCAGCTTTTTTCTCTTTGCGAAGGGTTCAAGCCTGACAGAAGTTCATTAAAAGCTCTCATCGGCGCTCAAAAATACAAGTATGAGAAAAAACCTGCAAGCAAGCCTGTCAAGAGAGGAGCCGAAATCGAATGGGACGTTGATGGACGAATACAGCAGACTTATATTGACCAAAAGGAACGTGCTGTTGAAAGAACCCTTGAACATCTTTTGCTGCAATGGCCAACTGAAAAGCCTATTGCACCCACGGATAAGCATTTTCAAACATATATTGATATGAAACCTGCCATTGTGCAAGCTCAAGCAAAATTTTATTCTTGGTTTAGAAACATCAAATTCAAGGATTACATCTTGCGTTTGGAATCAGCTCTCAAGTCGAACTCAATCGAGTGCCCCATCACTCAGCGATGGTCAGATTATGCGAAACCCACCAGTAATTATAATCCGAGCTTAGCTTATGTTGCCTTCACGGACCTCCTTCAGAATCGACCTCCAACTTTTGTAAATGGAAATGAATTGTTCCTGTCCAATTTACTTTTAGTTAAGATATCCACGTCGCTGGGCAACGATAAGAATCATATGAAAGTCTCAGAGCTCTTGTTGAAACTTTCTCGGCACACTTCCGGAGCCTTTGAGAACCAATACAGCCGTCACTTACAACAAAGTCTGGATGCTTTGCACGAGATACCATATTTTAAGCTAGATCCCGCGGTGTCAGCTTACGATTTCTCAGCCTTCTTGGAAAGAAGCCAGGCACTGGTAGACAACATGTACCTCAGAATTGAAGAGCAGTTGTTAAGTTCTATAAGCGTGTTCGGAGCTATAGAGAACACGACAATGCTTCCACGCCTGTCTCGAACCACTATTCTTGCTCTTATTGCAAGTTCTCATCCTATAAAGCTCTCACAACAGTGGAAGCAGGCAATTGTACAATTTGGCCTGGCTGTAACTGACCTGCAGCGTCTGAAGCGTCTGGTGGCTTGCTGTAGCAATGAAGCAGAACTTATCATGGAACTTACGAATCCGGGACATCAAGGCTGGGACCCGTTGTTGTATCCGGACTGGCTACTTCTTGAATTGGAGAACGGAATTCTCATTCGCAAAGATCAGGCTGAGATCAGTAGTGAAATGATTGACCCATCATCAGGCGCAAACTCTGTTATGCAATTGAATATGGGACTTGGAAAATCTTCAGTCATCGTTCCACTTGTAGCATCAGCTCTGGCAGACAAAACAAAGTTGTGTCGCGTCGTAGTTCTCAGGGCGCTGTCTAGACAGATGAGAGAATTGTTAGTAAGAAAACTCGGTAATATGATCAACCGGCGTATATTTTTTGTACCAATCTCACGTGCGCTACAAATGAATGCTGAAGGGGCAAAACAGCTCCGAGAAATTTACGAGACTTGCATGACTTGTGGTGGTGTACTTCTAGTGCAGCCAGAACATTTACTATCTTTTGAGTTGATGGGCCTTGAGATGGTACTTTCTGGGGATCAAGATGCAAAGGTTGTTGGTAAGGTAATTAATGACACCCAAGAATGGCTGCTCAAAGATTGCAGGGATATCCTGGACGAGAGTGACGAGATATTGAATGTGCGATTTGAATTGATTTACACTCTTGGCAGACAAATGCCTATCGAGTTTGCTCCTAATCGTTGGATGCTAATTCAACGAATATTGTCGATATTGACTTCTTGTATCAAGAAACTTGATCAAAAATACAAACATGATTTCGAAATAGAGAATTTGCCAGATAGTAGTGGTAAATTTGCGAAATTTCGGATCCTACAGCCCGCATTCGGTGATGTACTTCTTAGAAGAGTGGTACAATCTATCTGCGATGAAGGACTCCCTGGATTATCTTTCTTCCATTTTACCAAGAGCAATCGAGACCTCTTATACCAATTTATCACAGATTCCAGCATAGATGAAGATGCAATTCAGCATTCGATATTTGATGCTGACTCCACGAAAATGGGTCTTCTACTCCTGCGAGGTCTCTTTGCTCACGGAGTTCTACACTTCGCCTTTTCAAAAAAGAGGTTCAGGGTCGATTTCGGTTTAGATGTGAAACGGTCATCACTAGCAGTCCCATATCATGGAAAAGATGTGCCTGCATCCGCAGCAGAGTTTAGTCATCCAGACGTGACTGTTATATTGACTTGTCTTTCCTACTATTACGAAGGTCTATCCGAAAGCCAAGCAATACAGTGCTTTAGAGAGCTTCTAAGATCGGACAACAGTCCAGGAGAATACGAGAAGTGGACCAGAGATTGCCCCAACATTGAAACTAAATTCAAGCGATTAAGTGGCGTCAATCTTAATAACCCATACCAATGGTCTGAACAGGTATACGCACATATAAGACGCTCTAAAGAAATGATAGATTTCTATCTAAACCACCTCGTTTTTCCGAAGGAGATGAAAGAATTTCCAAAGAAACTTTCTTCATCGGGTTGGGATATCGCTCGGACTAAAAACCACCCGCTCACTGGCTTTAGCGGAACAAACGACAGTAAGTATATTCTTCCGCTCTCAATACACCAAAGAGACCAAGAAGAACAACTTTCAACAAATGCAGAAGTACTCGCATGCTTATTACAATCTGAAAACAAATTCGATTCCACAATCAAGAGTGAAGATTTCAATGCCGAAATCCTTCTAAAACTGGCCATAACGTCGAAACCTACAATAAGAGTAATCCTTGATGTTGGGGCACAAGTTTTGGAGCTGAGAAATGAAGAGGTTGCAAGTAGATGGTTAGCACAACTTCCAGTCACTGATGAGGTACAAGCGGCGGTATTTTTTGATTCTTCAGATGAGCTTTGCGTTCTGAACCGCGATGGGGTGACCGAGCCTCTCACTATCTCGCCATTTACTAAGCAGATGGACCGATGTGTGATTTATCTCGATGAATCTCACACACGTGGAACAGACTTGAAACTTCCAGTTAACTATCGTGCCATTGTTACACTTGGACCAGATCTGAACAAAGATCGTCTCGCACAAGGTAAGAAGTATCTAATTATACAGACAAGATTTATAACTGACACCTACATGATAGCATGTATGCGTATGAGAAAACTGGGAAAGGGTCAGTCAGTATTATTTTGTGCGCCAAAAGATATCCAACGAAAAATAATACACTGCACGGATATGACCCAGTCTGACCAAATCGAGGTCAAGCATGTTCTTTTGTGGTGTATAAGAAATACATTAGACCAAGTTCGAAAGTCTGTTGTGCCTTGGGCAATTCAAGGAAAGCGTCACTTTGAACGACTTGAGGCTCTAAGCGCAAATCCTGGCATTATTCCTGTATCTGTTCAAGAAGACGAAGTACAGAGCCTGGAAGAAAGATACGGGTTCGGTAAAGAAAAAACTGACGGGCGTTGGCTGGCCGATACAGCTTCTAATACAGACACAAAATACTCTGCCGAGCTCATTGCTATTAGAAAAAAATGTGTTCAGTTTGGTTTTAATTCTCTTGCAGGTGCCAATTTATACGAAGAACAAGAGCGTGAATTGCAACCAGAGAAAGAATTGGAGATACAGCGTGAGCATGCCCCAAGTGTACCAGCTTCGAAGCATAGGTTGCATGCCGATGTCAGAAACCTGGTCACAACCGGTGTCATGGTCCACAGCGCTTGGAGTGGATTTTTGCCTGCTTTTGATGTTTTCAAGAATACGTCGGCAAAAGGATTATTCGATATATCCAAGTGGCCTAGAGGTCTTTGGGTCACTCGTGACTTTGCGCAAACTGTGGTAATGCACGGCTTTGGTGAGATTGATTCATTTTTACGTCCAGTCAACTGGGTCGTTACATCTGAGGACAAAAACGGGGTTTCGATCTGTGTGATTCTTAGTCCTTTCGAAGTTCAAGCGTTACGCTTTGTCATCGAAAAAAATAAGAAAGTCGTTCTGAGCATCTACTCGCCACGCTTAAGCCTCTCTTCGAAGTCATTTGAGAGCCTTGATGTTCACAAAATCCCAACAACTTCGAAACTGCCATCAATTCACCCAAGAATTACCATGCTTTTGAACCTTTTTGCTGGACAATTATATCTTCGAAGCTTCAATGAATATATTCGACTTTGCCAATTCCTCGGGCTTTGTTATTATCCACCCCGAGAGAGTGTCGAAATCGGTTGTGATAAGTTTGTCCCTGTATCAAGTCGTGCATCGTTTGATCCCGTTATGAAGGAGGTTTGCCCTTTCGAGGAGAGTCCGGTTGATTTCCTACAAAAAGTATTTGCGTTGAGACGTAAAGGGCAGAATTTTGAGAACTCACACATGGGCAGGATCTTGAATGGAGAGTTATTGAGTAGGAAGGATTTTGACGAAGGTGAAGAGTTGAAATGACGGATATATCGAAGATGGTGGGCTCATTGAAGGAAAGCGATGGGACCAACAGAATTGAAGGGGTAACGATATTGATGAGCGCCTGAGTGATGGATAGTAAACCCAGTGATCAATTTGAAGACCTATGTAGGAAGACTCATTGCCTCTGAAACGCTTGTAACTTTATAAAGCAATTTGTATTATGAATATTAAGTTTTACTTGTCGAGAGACCAATTAGTTGCTCTGTATTCTGCTTGTGATATCACTGCGTAGACGATGATGTAAAATGACTTTATTATAACTTTATCGCAATCTGGAAGTCCACGAGTTCACGAAACTGATCGCTAATTACAACCAAGAATAATTTTGCTTTCTTTGTTATCGAAACTGCCGTACAGGACAGCTTCTACACAAATATCTGTTTGGCGGGGTTCAGAAGTGAATATGCGAGTTCTTATTGGTCAATAAATCTTACACTTACGTTCTTATCATGAGCGCGTTCCGCACCACAATCAACATTTTTCAAAGAATTATTATAGCCTTCAATCCTTTATCGTAAAATGATAATATGCATACACAGCAATGGCATCGATTTTGGAATGGGCAAGAGCAGCGACCAGAAGAACACCATCCCCGCCATTACGGTTCCCCACAACGGGGTATGAATTGATCAGTGATGCTCAACCACTTGACGAGGAATCACTTGAGGGGTTTAGGAAAGGGTTTTACTATCCTGTGGATATTGGAGATATATTTATGTCCAAATACCAAGTCGTTGGAACGCTTGGATATGGAGCGAAGTCCACAGTCTGGTTAGCGCGCAATCTCCAGTGTTTTCATATCACATATACACACATATACTGACAAGCTAGAGCTCATGAACACGTTTCCCTGAAAACCTACACCCGTGATAGAGATCCAAAGGAAGAGTTTGAGATTTATAAACGTCTAAGGAAAGGCAACAATTCTCATCCCGGGTTTCGACATATTAGGACGGCCCTCGAGGTATTTACGATACCCCGTACTGGCGGCGATCATACTTGTCTCGTTCAGAAAGCAATGTGGGAAAGCTTCAGAGAACTTAAAGATCGTCTTCCGAATCATTATTTTACGGAGAAGATATTGAAAGGTGCATTAAAACCGCTGTTTTTGGCTTTGGATCATTTGCATGCTAAATGCAAACTTGTTCATACCGGTATGAATGATTCAATCTTGTCTTTTTACATGATCAGAAAGACCAAGAAGTATTAATCTTATGTTAAAGACATTAAGGCGGATAATACTCTATCTGAAATCGAGGACAAATCCATTCTCGATGCCTTTACAGAAGCGGAGATGAATTCTCCTTCACCTCGCAAGGTAATCGATGGTGTGACTGTGTATAGCTCACGGAGATTCGATGTCCCAAGAATCTTCGGTGATTCAGTATTCATCGACTTTGGCTCCGCAGTTCGAGGTGATTTGAAAATTAGGCACCGGAAGTCATGATAAAAGCACCTTGGAGTTATCCGATTGATATATGGAATGTAGGAGCAATGATCTGGGATCTCTCTGAGGGAAGGCATATGTTTCATGGTGAAGATAGCGATGGAAAAGGCTATTCTACTCGTGCTCATCTAGCAGAGATTATTGGAATGCTGGGACCTCCTCCCATGGATTTTCTCGAAAGGGGTATTCGGACTCCCGAGTTCTTTGATAAACAAGGTGTGTAAGTCAAAGCCAAATTTTAGGAGAGTTGAACTAAATTGTGATTGTGTAGGTGATTGGATAGCAGAGATGACTATTGCGAGAGATGTGGAATTAGAGAAAATGGAAGTACGTCTTCAGGGTAGGAATAAGGAGATTTTTTTGAATATGATGAGTGGCATGCTTCAATGGCGACCGGAAGATAGGAAGTCTTCTAGGCAATTGGCTGATGATCCTTGGATTAATGAGATACATATTACATAAAAGAGTAATGATCAGGTCTTAAGTATCAATTAGTTGTCCTTTAGATATCAATTTCCAACGCAAAATCTATTTTTCAGTCTTTCATCGGGAGAAACCGTCTGAACATACGTTCTAATGCATCATTTGAAGTATCAATTTGACAAAAGTTTAGAATGTTCAAAGAATCTTCAGGAATATAGTCGAGCTTAGGTTTTTATATTGTACAGTTAATTCATATACTCAACACCAGAGTTTCAAATATTCACTATTTTTATAGCCTGGCCAAGCCTTCCGACACACTGACCTTGCTAATTTGAGTACGTAGATAAGTGCTGCAATTTTGGGTCCTGGAATATGAGCTAGGGAATGAAAATAAAGACGACGAGTGGCTTCGGCAATCGTCAACATCAATGACAAGATTACCGTTGTGCCTAAAAGCTGAGCAAAAGCCATTTCGAAGTATTTGAGAAGCTGGAAAGCTGTTCATGGTAACTTGTTTCGCGGTAAACTTTTAAAGGATATTGGGGCGAAAGAGTAAGCAGGACTCATAGCGGAAAGTCCGGACAATTTCGACTTTCCGTGTTCGGATTCGAAAACCAGGGCCATTAATTCAAGCGGCCAGATGGACAAGTGAAACCATCTCCCGAAGAACGTTATAAATCGGGTAAATCGAGATCTCAATTCGTCTTCTTGCGTGCATTAATCTAATAACGTATCCCTACTGGCTGTCTTATCTCATTCCAATCAGGATGGCGTGGAAAAATTCGCGATGTTCAATTCATGCTTGCGAAAAGTCAAAGGGTGTCGATTTTTTCTGGAGGTGTTGTGGAGCAAATTCGGGGAGGGGACTAGAGCGGAGAGGGGGGCTGCTTGCGATATTACAATAATAGACAGGTTTATTCTCACTGCTTACATTTGAGGTGGTATGGGAGATAGTTTCTGAATGTCTGCAGACCGAAAACAGGATACTAGATTGTTTTTTTCCTCAATCCTCATTCTCAACCTTGTGTCGCACCGAATTTAAGGGGCATCATCATGATGGTAACCCATGTCTTTCAGCCTGAGCCTTCTCAGATTTCCAGAATCCTACGCTTGCGTACATTTGAAGGCGCTTCAAGCTGATATCGAAACTCAAAAAAGAATATCAGTCCTCATTTTCCTGCATCGTCAGGTTTCTATTTTATCCTTCCGAGCATAACTTAAGCTTTGAATCTTGTTTTGTTGCTGTCATCCAGCACTTAGCGTTCTTTTGCAAGCCACATTTGCATAATCTTTCGAAATGACATACTCCAATCCACCGCTATCATTGCCATCAGCGTTCTATTTCCAATACTTGGACTTGTGACAGTCTCTTTGCGCTTCTATACTCGGGTCAATGCCAGGATTAGACTCGGAATTGACGACTGGTTGACTGTTCCAGCATTGGTATGTACCACAACGACTTCGCATCTTTCGGCGTTTCTAATTTGCATCCAGGCCATAGAATGTATTCTTTCTGGACTTCTCATATGGGGAGCCGCGACAAAAGCCCTAGGGGACCATCTTCCTGCTCTTGATGTTCCGGGCCCAGATGGGCACCTGTTCTCTAATTCCGACCGACAAGTCAGGCTTTTGGAGGTAGCTAAGAACTATTTCGAACAGTCTCTGTACGCCAACTGACAATCTGTCTACAGATCCAGTACTTCTTCGATTGGATCGGAGCTTTCGAGTTTGGGCTGCTCAAGCTCAGTATCCTGTTCTTCTATCGCAGAATCTTCTACACGGGGACAAGAACTGCATTTGACATTATAAATATGGCCTTTATTGTTTTGTCATTGTATGGATGCTAGCGATGGGGATCGGGGCTATATTTCTATGCAAGATTGACCCTCGTTCCACTTGGGGGACTGTTGTGGTCATTGCCTCTGTTGGTATCACCATGGAGATGATGAAGTCAATATAATACTATGGTTCACACTGTTGTAATATTGCTTGAGGTTCTAAAAGCTAGGGCTACGAAACGTATATGCTATAGTGCCGAGGCACTAGCGCAAGCGCTAGCGCGGTCACATGACCACTGCCCCAACAGCCTCAAAATGCAGTGCGCAGCTACCTTTCCTCGAGGGTTATGTAATAGATTTCAATCTTTAAGTTCAATATAAAGACTTCTATATATAATATTATTTATAAATATATTGATGTTCTTGATCGGCGCACGGATCAAATGTGATACAATCATGTGATTGCAATATATGCCGGATTCTGTAATTGTATGTAATAATCGTGTATAGTGAGCCGTTCGTCAATAGATTGATTCAAAACATGTTAAATAAAACCTCAATCAATATCAGAAAATATATAGGCAATTCGAATGACTTTAGTCAAAATGATACTCGACGAATAGCTGTGCCCTAGTACTGTATATCACATGATGATATTTGAATCAAAATAATAGTTGGGACTGACCTCATTTTTAGACAACAACCATTGGACGATTGCAGGGTCTGTGTTCTAAATACCGCAGATATCCTGCAAGGTAAGGTAAATAAACAGAGAAGTAGCATACGCTGAGTGGGATACGGGTACTCAACAAACTCAGAAGCCACCAATGATCCTAACATATACATACGACTTGGATTTTCGCGACAGGATAAGTCAGTCAACTGCCGATGAATATCTACAGTACATCTTTCTTTGCATATCGTATAGTCATCTGACAAGTCATGAGTTCTGAGCCAAACACATGATCACTGTTTGACTCAGTCAGAATATCAAGTGATACTATTGCATGAATCATTTTTAATCAACTCTAGGATTTATCTATGTTGTGGTTTCGAAGATAGTAAAGACGTTTGAATTGACATGATTAGACCTGATACGAAAAAAAAGTCGTGATATGCGAGGAGAAAAATTTGATTATTGTACTCTGTATTCCCCAATTAGCTGCAATGTTGTGCTTGAACGTCGAGTTGCATGGGAATGCTAATAAATTATGTACAAATGAAGTATCCTCCTGCATTCAATCAATTAACTCCCGTCAAAAAGACAGAAAGAAATCGAATAGAATCAAAAATTGTGTGGAAATCAAACTCTTCCATAAACAAAATAAAATAAAGGGTGGTATCTCTAGTCAAAGTATGTTGTAAATGCCAAAATGTCCCATAGCTCCCACCAAATACCCAAAGGAGATATCACCAAAATCCTATAATTAATCTCTAACCGCCGTATGCCATGTATCGTAACAGATGTCTCGTCATCTATGCCTTGAATTTGACTGCCATGCTTCCATCTTCTGTGTCGCATTTAGCGTCAAATGTGAGACTGCATTTGGCTTCGCATTCAATCTCTCTCTTAGGTATTGTTGCTGATCAGCCATCAATTGCAAGAAGAGCGAAATGACCGCCAACAACTGGACGAGCGATGAAGGGACCTGACCACCAACTGTGATTGTGTTAGTATGTTCTGCATGATAGAAGTAGTGAGTATGAATGTGATAACTTACTCTGCAGTTTGAGTATTGTAAAGATCGGTGAAGGCACGGTCAGTTGGAGTAACACCAATCCATGTTGCGAGTTTGGAGATAAACATTGATTTTGTGGATGGAGATGCGATTGCTGCTGCCCACATTTCCCAATCGGCTATTTGAAAAGACTGTTAGTAGCTGCAGCGTAGAAAACGTGCATGAAACTTACATTTGGTGCAAACATTTCTGGAGTCAAGTTGAACACCATATACATTAGCAATTGTTGGGTAGTATTCGCTTTGCATATCGTAAATTCGTTTTGGAACAAAATTGAGCTTCAAAAGGGTATCTGCGTAAAGGTTATACAAAAGACCATGTCCAGTATTATCTTGATAGGCCAATTTGGTATGTGCTGGAACAGAGGCAGTTGCTGGAACAATAGCGAGTTTCTCCCATTGTGTAAGGTAATCGTGTGCAATGTTTGTATAGTTCAATGCATCGGCGGAATTTCCAGTGATATTGGCAATTACTGACATTGCTTCGATTGCAATGATACCTTTGAGGGCAAGATTGGTTTGATTGGCGAGCGTGCCTTGGAAATCATCGGTGGAGAGTTGATTTGCTGGAATTAAAGCTTCAGCAACTAGGAAAGTAGTCCATTGTTTGAGCAATGGGTAGTGTTGAGTCAGATATGCGGTATCGGAAGCATGTTGAGAGTAGGCGAGAGTCATGATAATCATGTTTCCACATTCTTCAAGAGGCATAGGTTCTATTCATCATTAGTATGTAATAATTGTGTACCAAGGGAAAAGCTTACCTCCATCACCAGTTGGATGTCCAATCGCACGAGGATAGTTGGCACCTAAATCATGGATAGAGTATTCCTGAGGAAAGTGGCCGGCCTCTTGGTTCTCATAAAGAGGATCCAGCATGTATTTTAATAATGCAGGGTTGGAATAGAGAAATATAGGCATAGCTGGGAACATGACATCAACAGTTTGAGTGTTACCATCGGAACTGATTTCTTTGAGAAAGTAGTATGGCTTATCCGGTGTTCCGCAAAGTTGAACAGCTCCAAATGCTTGACGAGCTGAAAGGGAAGTAATAGTCAAATAATCTTGACCACCGACTGCGAGGGAGTCGACAGCAATTTTATGGTCCCAAACACCCCATTTCATGACCCAATCGTTGTAAAAATCGGTGACCTAAAGCAATCAGCATGGTGTAAAATGACGACAAGAATCCACATACCAAAGAGATATCAGAATCCCAATAACTAGCCCATAAAGAAGGAACAGATCTTAATCCACCATCTCCGAGGAAAATGATTGCGTTTTCTTGAGCATGGACAATGGTGTAAAGTGTTTCGACTGGGGTACTTCCAACATTTCCGAGATTGTTAGCAAATCCAAATACTGGCCAAGCATCTTCAATAGCTCTGTAGACGGTGTCCTGAGTGTTTGGAAGAGAGCCATTATTGAGGAAATTTCCGCGAACAACGGAATCCTGTCCTGATTGGTATGACATGCCATTGACGGCCTTGGTAGACCACAGCCAGTAGCCCCAATGAGCTTGATCA